TAATTTGCTACTTTTTAGCTTCGATGTAATGTATAAGAAGGTATTCATTTTATTAAGAAGTGTTTTTTTTTGTACTGTTACCACTTTTTCTCAGCTCTCACCAAACCGATTTCTTTCAAGGATATGTCAAAAGATCACAAATTGTGCCTAGTCGAAGACATTACCCTCAAAAATTAATTACATTTTCCCCGTTCCTCGTAGATTGGGAAAAGCTACAAAAAAATTACAAATTTGAAAATTGGAAATTTCCAAGATTTTTTCAATTTGTATTATTTAAAACTGTCATAACTTTTTGAAAAATAGATGAATAGAAACAAATAATTTTTATAGAGACGTTAGGTATTTACCTATCATTTGGTAAATATTTTTTGAAAATCTGACCCTTTACCTGATCACAAAGGGGGTTTCAAAACGATAACTTTTCCACAGAAAATTAACTTTTTCAACTTTTGAAAATATTCCGAAAATAATAACACTTTTATATATCTTAAACTAAAGCTTATGTAATAAAAAAAATATCGAATTTTATTTTGTTTTCATGGTTAAAATGGCTACCGTATTCAAAAATATGCTATTTTTCTGTTAAAATTCTCGGTTTTGTATTTTATTTTATTTTAAAATATCTTACAAGGGGAGTACACTGATTTTCATAAATATTATATAAATCAAATTGACATACCATATGAAGTTAAACTTATTTAAAAATTTTCTTCTTCTTTTAAATCGAGAAAAAGTAACTTTGAAATTTGAACTAGCCTAAATTGCCATTTTTTCCAGTCGACGGAAGCGACGTACGATTGCCGAGTCGGTTACACTTGTGTATTACGCGCATGTGGTACCTAAATTTTTTATCATCGCACTGTAGGTTAAGTAGAAACGGCTAAAATGCAGAATAAACTTTACCTCTATACACAAGTAAATAAGAAATCGACAAAATTTTTCATATATTAATACATTGAAATGACTATTATATGCACAATTAAACAATGTAAAATTAATAAATGTAATATATCTTTATTATAAACAAACTATAGTTAAAATATAATATACATTTTATGAACAAGAAATATTTATAAATTTTAACGAATAAAAAATATGAAGTAATGTAACAGTATATATGTATGTAGTATTGATAATTACTTCTAATATTTACGAATTGAATTGAATTGAATTTAACTGATTATTTTGAAATATTATGATTTGTTTTTTTCGACTACCGAAAGGCATTGGGTATATCTTGTTGTCACTGCCACCCGTTGACCTGTAAGCTGAAAAGCGAGCCGTTCAGCATGAGATTTGCCAAGAAAGCGGCTGGCCCTTTGATCATAATGATTACACCCAGAGAAAAACCTCGATCTATATAATAAATTCATTGTTCAATTTGATAAATATATCATTACTATTGAATCAATGATATATTTATCAATATGATATTTTTTTTTCTTGTCTTGAACAATAATTATTTATAAGAATAGTTATTTTGTTCGTATTAATTAAACATTATCATTAACCCTTGATAAAATTTCTCATTCAATTTTGATTGAGGTTTTTCTTTGGGTGCGGCTGTCTCTCAGGCGGATGACCCAGCATCATAAAAAGACTCGAGTTAAGTCTTTATTTCCTGGTTATTTTGAATAAAAATACGTTATTATTAGTCAGGAAACTAATAATAATTTCTTTATGTTTTATTTGATTTAAATTACAACAAAGCTCTATTTGTATTTAATACTTATTTTTACTAAATATATACGAGTGTCCGACGTAATTATCCATAAATTACATTATTTTTTTTACTGTTGGAGATCTTATTAAGTCATTAAAAATCTTTTTTAACAAACCTGAGCTGAGTCAAAATTTCAGTCAAAGAAATATTGTAAAAATGAGTTTTTTTTAACTTTTAGTCATATTGGTTTAGTTGTAGGATATATTATACACTTAGATAATTCACCTCAAAATTCAAAATAATATTTAACTAACTAATTTGTTCGTATAACATCTGCATATTAAAATACACTAATCGTGTATAAGCAATTATGATTTAATCATTTTTGGGATAGTAAATTAAACACTACGGACATACAATTTACAAATATCGGAAATAGAGATCAAGACAACATTCGTAGTAACCTCGTTTCATGAAATTCACGCCATTTATACATTATTCTATAGTAAAGTTACATAGTTAACATTTTATTAAAAGAAACAAAAATAAATTAGAGAAAGCGAATTATATCCATAAATAAAAAAATAGTCTCTTTTTAACAGTTTTTTGGTATTTTAGTTTTGTTTAATGTATTATTATAACATATATTATTAATACCACAAAAAAAGCCAATCCTTAGTTGACTACAACTACAATACTTAAGAACACAAACAAATGTATTTCGGGATAAACAATGAAATAAATGAATAGCAAAATTATTTAATTCTCGTTAATTACTGTTAGATCACATCTATACTGGTCAATTTTATTAAAATCATTTTTAACATCCTTTTAATTATTATATAAAAATTAAATATACGATGATTTTCTTCATGGTACAAAGCAATATTTTAACTTAAAGCTACTGATGATGTGTAGTATAATACGTTTGAAAGTGATAAATAGTTATTGCTTTCTAACGACATCTTGGTGAAGGGTGTAAATAACAATATAACTCAAATTCTTACATTTAATTTCAATTTGTTCTAGAAAGTAGATTTATACTTCTCATTTATGATAATCTAATTTTGATTACGTTGTGTTTAAATCTTACACAAAATTATAGAAATATAAATATATTTATGTAATTTATTGTAAAACGTGTACAAAAAAAAAAAATGTAATAGACACATAGTTTATTAACCTGATGCAAAATATTAAAAATATTTTAATGTTTAAAATATTTTATATTCAATATTTTTTTAATTTTATATATTTTACTAACAGCATATATTCAAATATTTTGAGAAATGTTGGAATATGTTTATAAACCAGAACTAAAACAAAATGGAATTTTGCTCTTGTTACTTTCTCAATGCATTACAATAATTTAGCCATCGGCTTTGGTCAATAATCAAAACGTTTGCCACCTCGAAAACCTGTTAATTATATTTAGTCCTACGAGACATATTAATTATACTCATACTCTATACGATTTTAGTCAAGTATCCATTCATACATGAGTATTTGGTTAACTTCTAGAAACGTAAATATCAAAAGAATTTCTTGTAAAAAAATAATAACACTCAATTAAAAAATTCAGCTTGGAATATAAATAAAAGTATAGTAATAGTAAATACAGTATAGTGTACTGTAAAAACGATATAAATAATATTATGAATTTTAGTATTTATATATCATTTACAGAACAACATTTTTTAACTATATGTTATACATGAAAATAAATTCAATTAAGAATAAAAGTTTTGATATCTAGTGGAGTTTTAAATAATCGTTATACAAGGATAATTAAGTAATTTATTAAGTCACTGCACTATCATTGATACTATAACTCCAATTAGCATGAGGATTATTACATCATGGCATAATAAGAAATGAATTCGATCTTTTTGAACATACATCCTTTTATTATTGAATAAATCGATTCTTATGTTAATATTAATTCTAGTATAATGAATATTTAAATAATCTTGACACCTTTTAAATTAATTTTCTTAACAATTTACTTTTGAAAAAAATGAAAATCAATTTTTTAATTTAAAAATATCACGGTGAATGACATTAAAATATTTTTTAAAAAATTTTTGAGAGTTTATATGATTAATAACTATGATAAAAAAACGTAAAAAAATCTATATATTAGTGTATATTCCAGGATATTCTCATGATAAATTTCAATGGACATAAAAGTTGATCAGATTACGTAATACTAAAATCAAAATTCGCATGAGAAACGATAAAATTGTTCAATCGACTTCTCGTTGGCGAATATTATTGATTTTCCAATCTAAATGCCACGACATTTAACGAGACTATCATTAAAAAAAAGACACAACTTTGACTCTCACTTTCTGCATATTTAGAAACTTGGTCATTAATAATTTTCTAACGGATTCAACATATATGTTGAATATGTTATGTGACATATAATGTCACCTTAACTAAACCCAGTCCGAAATTCCGAAATTTTATACTAACTAAAATTTAAATTTCTTTGCATATTACGGAACTCTCGCTAATAACCTTTAAAATTATGATTATTTTTTCCATCAGTAACGTATTATCTAGTAGATGATTCTAATGCTTTCACGCAATATTTTTACAATTGATTTGACCACTTCGATTATCACTTTCGAACTATAAGTTTGACGGCAACAGTAGTAAAACTAATAATAATCTCAAATGTCAATATTAAAAGCAAATTAGGTCTCGATAGACTCAGAAAATTTAAACTGATAGATTTCCATTCTATGAGTGTGAATGCCATTAAAATAGATTTATTTCATAAAATAAACAACCTTGTGAAAATGTTAAATAAAAAAATTTAGGAGTTACATTAAGAGAGTTCAACATTATATTTAACAAAAAATGATTTTTTTTTAAAATTAATTACTGTATTTATTTGAAAACTCAACGTTTTATCAAATTAAAATTTTAATCCATTTACTAAAAAAGAATCAAATTATGATTTAAGTGTTTGGAAATAATGAAGATAGTCAACGATGAAACAGAGAAGTATTAACACATTCAACTATGGTGATAGACCGACCTTGACGTTGGAAAGTCAAATAACAACATGATAATCATTAAAAATAGTTGAGATATATGACAACGAAAGTTGTTAAAATATGTGACAATCCGGTCGTATCATCTGCGCAATTCACATATCATGATGGTCAATGGTGGCAACTAGAAGATTTCGTATTCCCCGCCAGTCAATCGATTGCATCGAGCTACCTTGTGACGGGATCTGATTGAGTTTGCCGGTATAGTGGTCCGAAGAAAGGGGGAGAAATGGAAAGAGAGCGGACGGGAACTTATAAATATTAGTTAGACGATGACCCGAATATCATTCGTGTCCGACGTGACCTTGGTTATATGCCGGACGTGTGCCATCCTCTGGCTGTTTCCTATATCCAGCCGACTACAGTACACTGTAGTCTTCTGCTAAGTTTTCAAGTTCAGTACTTGATCGGTTTGATAAGTAGTAGAAGTCATTTTCGACGTTTAGTGCGTGTTTATACGGTTGTCGAATATTACAAGCCATTGTGCGCGAGTGAAGTGTTATCGTTAAAAAAAGTTAAGGATTCGTAATCAAAACACAAATGTAAGTAAATTAATAGTATTAAAAAATATTAAATTATTTATCATTTTTTTCAACTCAAAGCTAGTTTAAAACAGACAAGAATGCCTTAAATAATTCTCTAATGTATAGTTCGCTAATAGTTTTAATTAGAAAAATAACAAATGAGAACAATTGAAATTAAGTGAAATTAATGCATCATATCGACGCGAGTTCTGATGTGTGCTGGTCTGGAAAGTAAAAATAATTTAATATAGTAAATTTATCTGTGCACTAATGAACAGTAATATTGAGGACGAGGCTTATACACTGACTGAATTTCAAATATCATTGCATAAAGATTCAGTTAAATATTCTAACTGTACATCCTTTACGGCTTTAGTAATGCCTAGTCAACTTCTTGGTGACAATTTGTTCGGACATTTCACCTAGTTTTCCGTACATATTTCCGGGTTCAACAATATTAAATGAGAACGTGGTGTTTAACAAGTTAATGAGAGTGCATCTGATGCACATTAGTTAAATTAGATGTTTTATTTTAGTTTATCGTACTTAAAATAAAATAGATTAAATATATATTTACATATGTTAGAGAAAAGATTTAGTACAAGATAATTTAGTTTAAGTCTCCGTAGTATGTGTGAGTGTTTTTGTTATTTTAATGATAATATCCATCAGATAGTATTATTATTCATTTTTAAAATATACTATATTAGTCTTAAAAAATAACAATAATTTTAGGAAAAGCGAATACTAATCAAAGAATTATATACAACGACTTAAAGCGTAACATAAAAGTGTTTAATCAACAGTTAAATATCTGTTTGGTTCCGTCGTTTATGGGTTGTTCTTTATATGATGTATTCAAAATTATATGGCATGCACCCACTTTCTAATTTTTGTTCCCGAATAAAGCACCTATCTTAGTGTCTATATGAATTCTTTTTCAAAAGTTGAATGGCCTTATGACTCCCGAATACTAATTATTGTTGTTTATATTTTGTCAGTATGTGTGTTTTTAGTAGAATATAGGAATTATAAACAGAAACATACATTCACACACATATCTATTATTTTTATAAATTACTACAAATAGCATTCAATATGAATATTTATTTTTAATTTTAGAATATTAATACTGTTTAGGAACACTTATTATAATGTTTATTATAATATTGATACAACTATTCTTAACGTATTAAGCAAAAATTTGTTTAAATATACGTTTCAAATTTTGAAAGTTAAGTAGAAAATATGCGAAACTAACTCAATGGACTTTGTTCAATTTTAAAAAATGATCTATAATGTTATTCAATGGTACCAACATAATTTTTATTTTTTCGTTTACTTTGTTGAAAATTGGTGACTAATTCAATTTATATCATTACAATAAAAAAATTTAGATTAAAATTAGGATCTAACGTAAAGAAGATTTTATGATATATAACTAAATCCATAATTTGATTACTTATTTTCACGATTTTATGTGTAATGCAATGGCACAATTAAAATTTTAAACATATAATGCCCAAACAGACACTAGATAAAAAATTATTTATCCAATATTTCTTAACAACACACTTTCAAACCAGTATAATGTATTATATACTTTACAGAAATCATTGTAAAACTATATTGCAATATGTCAAACATTTTAGAATCATTTTGAGTTCATCTAGCTGAAAATAAATATTACTTTGACATTTTTCAAATTTCACGAGCAAGTTTCTAATTATTCTCAAAATAACAAGTCGTCGCCATAAACATATAGAAAAATATTAAGTCATATCCAGCTGCGTAATAGAAAATTTTTCTTTGGAAAATAAACTACAACCATTTGTGTCTAAATTGTGCAATTGTTAAAGATATTGTAAATATATTAGTATGGGACCTGTCATAACAACAAAATTTTTGAAGCGAGTGTTTCAATCATATAATAATCTTCTATTGACCAAAATGATTCAACATGCCATTAAATATATCATCTGATATGTTATGTCGATCAAAGTAATATGTCCAATTTATGGTATTACTATGCGGTACTATTAATTCCAAGTAACAAACATGTATCAAACACAAAATTCAAGTTTTGTAACACCATTTAGTGCAAATTATAATTAATTGTAGTCTCCAAAATCATCGATGGATGTTATTTTGATAATAATAATTTTTACATTTTTTCATGTCGACCTACGGCTCAGCAGATCTGATTAGTAAGCGAAAGCAGTTTAACGACTTTCTTGTGTGTGTGTGTCGTCTAGATAAACCGGATAAAATGAACATCTAAAACCAAACGTCCTGCAGTAGTAATTATATTAAACCACTTTCTTTCCGGTCGCACCCGAAACACTATATCGTCGTATTTCGCACAGACTATGCAATTTCACTGTAAAACATCCTCTGGTCAAATGACCGATATGATATGCCCACTATAAAAAAAACCTAGGTTATACTTTTCCGATCGAGTTCTTTAATCGTCAATCATTTTATCCACGACCGCCTTATTGACTTTCACTTTAAAGCCAATATGAAAACTGTTTGAACTGGTTATAGCTTTCTTTGAGTTACAAGATAAACTTGCTCATACTTAACATGTACAAAACTATAATGTGTGACAAATCTTGTTTTAAAGTACTGTCAAATACTTTTGAACTCTATATTCTCATATTGTTGATTTTTATTTTCAGATGGAGAATTTTGCTAAAATTCTAGTTCTAGTAGTAACTATTAACTTAACTTTGAGCGTGCAACCTCCTCTTAGTTATGGTCCACCTTCATCTTACAAGTACAGACCATCAACAGGCGGAAGTCCAATTCCAGCCAAATATCCGGGTGGTCCTTTTGGAAAAAATGAATTCTATTCAAAATTTAACCCACACTCATTACCTCCAGGATTCCGACCAGGACCTCCATCACAAAGTCATTTTAGCAAATACCCTCCACCACCAAACAAATCATTATACCCAGCATTAAACAAATTACCATCTTTTCCCCCAAATTTCCGGCTAGGACCTCAATTTCAATCCAAACCTCTGTACCAAGCTCCCGAAGGCCCTCAAAGATACCCACCAAGACCCAGTACTAAAATAGTTAATAATTATGGACCCAAACCAACCTCTTCTATTTTAGAATTTCAACAGCGATTTCCCGTAGCACTTACTGCTTCTTCATCATCTGTTAATGCCGCCTCAGCCCCATATTCTGTACCTGCAATACATTCTGCTTCTGCAGTTCATTCTGCTCCTGCCCCACTTCCCCCTGCATCAATATCCGAAAGGCCACACAGAGGATCATACATAATTAACAGTGACAGTGAAAATGGTCCAATTAAAACCATACCAGCACCTAATTTAAATCCAGCAGACAAACCCGCAGATTTTGAAGAACAATTGTACAAAGCACAACACCCACAAAAAGTTCAATACCTTCAACCTTTAGATAATTCTATCATTGATGACAACAAACAAAGCTATCAGGTAATATTAACACTTGCAACCTAACCATGACGAGATAACTAATAAAAAATCAATGTAATAATTAAAAATAAATACACATAATAAAAGGCTTGGTACCGATTTACTTGAACTTTTATATAGTCAAGTAATATCATAGTTTTTTATTTGGGAAAAAAACTTGTATTACTCATTGAAAACATTTTTACTTTCTCTTGGGCTTTTATAACACCCGTATAGAAATGAGTCCAATAATGATGACAAGTTGAAACGGAAACGGTAGCGTGTAACATCATAATACAACATACTAAAATTACGGTAGTAGACTGGTCACTGATGTCAGTATTTGTCATTATATGTATAATATAAACGTTATATATTATTGTTCTGGAGAAAGGAAAGATTGATTGATAAATAAATTATATTTTATCAAAAGAATGATAGAAACCTAAACGGATTAAATATTAGCTCATCAAACAATCACTCAATACATATTACTATATATAACAAAACTAAAAGACACAAAAAATAATATAAAGACCTTGCAACATCATATTAAATTGCATTTATTGAATATATTTTTACTCTTTTAGATAGATTCCTTATTAATTTGGAAGTATTATCCAATATGTATTTTATAACATATATAAATCTACAGAACAAAAGTAACATGGGGTTCTAGTAATAATTTATTTTAAAACTCAAGGTCGTTAAATCTAAAAACAATTACTTTTACAGAATACAATTATTTTAGTTAATACAATCAGAACTAAATGATCGAACTCAATTTTTCGTAGATTCTAATCAGATTTTGAAAATTCTATTAATTAAATGAAAATAATACATGGGTAATTCATAAGATTTTATGAAAGAGTACTAGTAATTAAATTCAAGTAAGAAAATAATAATATATTAAAATGAAATTGAGTATAATTACAGTTAAACAGGACAGGGAAATTTTTAAAATAAAGTTTAAAACGAAGATTTTCCACAAAACGTAATAAATATAAATGAAAAACTAATGATATGTAATAATAGTATTTACAAAATATCGTTAACTATAACATTACCTATAGTAATTCTTATTGAAACAAAAATTAATTCTATCCGAGTAATATAATTAATAGATTTTTTTTGTAAAAAAAAATAATATATAATCATTTAATCTTATTAAATTGTTTACGGCAGTGAATTATTTTTCGAAATCCCTTCAAACGTTAAACGTAAAAATAAAAGTGACTTTTTTTAATATTACATACTCGATTTTTCTTAAAATAATAATTATATTAAAATATCCAGCACAGAGTGGTCGCGGCAAGGTGGTGACGGCACAGTGGTGACGCGGTTTAGTTGGATAAAGTATAATGATATCTGACAGTGATTAAAATCACTAACAAAAAAAAAGCTTCGATGCAAATCTTTAGATAGTGTTTAATTTTAAAAAATTGGAGGATTATTCCAAAAGCTACATGATCTGCTATTTCCTTATTAATATACCGTTTAAGATAAAGTATGTCGTATTAAAAAGGGATATAAATATTATTTCTTATAAAAAAATTGTTTTGATCCATACACTTTTTAATAAGTTACAGCATTATATCATTGTATTTTCACAAAAAAATTGCAATCGGTTGCCATTTTCACCATGAAGACAAAATAAAGTCCGACGTTTTTTTTTTCCATAATAAAGTACATTGCATTAGCTTTAATTTAAGATACATATAAAAGTGTCAGACTTTTCGGAACACTTTTAAAAGTTAAGTTGAAAAAGTTCTACTTTCTATATGCATTTTTCAGATTTGAACCCCCCCGTATATAGGGAAATTGTCTGATTTAAAAAAAAAGTATGTCGAATGAAAGATGTATATAAATACTACTTCTCATGAAAAAATTGTATTGGTACATTTTTTAAAAAGTTATAGCATTTTAAATTAAAAAATGTAAAATATAAAATAAGATATATATATAAAAGTGTCAGACTTTCCGGAACACTTTTAAAAGTTAAGTTGAAAAAGTTGTCATTTTAAATCCCCCCCTGTGGGCAGGTAAAGGGTCAAATTTATAAAAAAAAATATACCAAATGATAGATAAAGACATCAAGCATTTACAAAAAAAAATTATATTGATTTGTTCATTTTCGAAAAAGTTATGGAAGTTTTAAGTAAAAAAAATATAGATACAATTTGTGATCTTTTGCCGTATCGTTAAAAGGAATCAGTTTGATGAGAGCTGAGAAAAAATGGTAACAGTCACAAAAAAAAAAAAAAATACATCATGGTGGAACCAATACCTTTTCAGCTTCGTATCGATGCTAAAAATTATATTTAATAATTTTGTATATTTCTTGATTTATTTATTAATAATTATTTTTTTTAATTCATTGATTATACCTTATAAGGGAGTCGTTTTTTTTTTAATGACAACATACATATTTAATTAGCTTATAAAATAAAAAGTGATTTAATTATTAAAATATCTGGTTGATAACTATTTTTGAAATAATACATAAATTTAAAATGGGAAGAAGACCGCGACAGAGCATTGTGTAATGATAAAAATAATATAATATGTATCACACCAACATTCTATTTTTTGAAATTGTTAATATTTCCAAAATAATGGGTCAAAAGTTGTTATCAACCAGACATTTTCTTAATTCAATCATTCTTTATTTTAAAAGCTAATCAAATATGTATGTTAGTATTAAAAAATTAATTTGACACTTATATAAGATATAAGGTATAAGCCTAAAGACTATTTGATAGTAGATAAATGGAAATACATATGTGATTAACAAAAACCGAAAAAATTATTTTCAAAAAACTGAATATTTTAGAAAATTGACTAGTCTTTAAAAAAGCGCTTCGTATATACGATAAGGATTTATCGGTATCGGGTTTTTTAAAATCCTATATTTATAAAATATACCAATATTATAAAAAAATTGTAAAAGGTATGAATAAAAATATACTTAATTATAAATCAAGAAATGTAGAAGTTAAACAATTACAAAAATAATTTTCTTAACATAATTAATAATTAAAAAGAAATTTAATGGCTAATATAACACTCTATATAACATTAAAACGTTTAACAAAAATAATCTAATAACATTATAACATAAAATATCATACAACGTTTATATGTTATGACGTTAAAGCCAATAAAAAAAACGTTATAATATATTTTAACGTTTTTTTAAAGGATTTTTTTCTTCTTAATCCGACTTTGCATTAAAGACAATAAAAAAATAGAACTGAACAAATAATCTCAATTTCACAACAACAACAGAATTATTTAAAAGGTATAATAATGGAAAATTACATGTATTTTTAGAACAGTTAAAATTTTTTATTTTATAAATCTTACAGTACTTTTTTTGATGTTATACTTTTACTAATATTATAAGAGAAACTGTTTTTAGTTTTTTGATAATTTTTAGTCTGGGTAAATAATTAAAAATAATTTTTATAATTTATTTTTATAAAATTTTAGGTAACAGAAGATCCCAGCTCATACAAACCCAACCAACAATCATACTTTGCTCCAGATCCAGATACTGTTCCACCACAAAAAATACCTCCAACTACCGATCCAAATTCTATTCCATCAACTAAAGTGCCTTTAGACGTTGCACTTTTACAACATTTAGAAAAACAACATCATTTGACAGCTGAACAATCCAACGCTTTATCACCCCAAGAACTTTACACCTTATTGAATGGAAATCCAAATACCGTTTTACAGCAACAAGAAACATATGCAGCTCCTCAACAAGTAGTATACGCTGTACCTCAACAACAACTAGACTTACAAAGTCAATTGCTATATCAACAACCAACCGTTCAATACGCTCAAAATGCTGTACCAATCCAATACCAGACGCTTCAACCAGTTCAAATGCACTTCCAGCAATTACCTGCGGTAGAACTTCAGCAATATCAAGTACAGCAACCATACACAAGCCTCGAACAACAAGCTGGTATCGCATACAATAATCAACAACAAACACAGGAGCAGTATCTCGGACAAATAGAACAATATCAAGAACAGCAACAGCAACAACAACAGCAACAACAAGAGCAAATCCAAGCTCAAGAAGATAAAGGTTACGAACCTAGAAACCCATCAGTTGTTCAAGACTCCAAAGGCGAAGAAGTTGCACAAAACCAACAGACTTTCGAAAGTATCAAAGACCAATATTATTCTGCGGTAGGCAATGAACAAGCTGCTGGTGTTCTAGCACAAATTGCTGAATCTGCCGCAAATAACAACATAGAAAGTGGTCACCAACAAGGCAAGTCGCTTCCAGACGAAGCTGACAAGAAGTCTTCCACTGACAACGTAGAAGTACAAAAATCGATTCCCATTTATGAAGGTTCTTATTCAACACGAAGAAATGCCCAAGAGAACGCTAACGGAGGAGATGATGAAGTGATGGCTGGAAGTGAATCTGTCGGTTCGGTAATGTCCGTAGAACATCATTCATCATCGTCATCATCATCAGTCAATGGCCACGCACCCAGTCAGTTTCCTTATAACGCGGCCAATATCAATAACATGAATGCTTAATTATTTTATACAAAAAAATGTATAACATATTATTTATTTTATTATTTAATTGAATCCTTATCACTATTGTTATTATTTGATTGCTTTTGTTCAAAATGACTGAATAATTGTACGAATTGGACCTCCGTGAATTGCAAGGGGAACATGTCTGTTTGAATCGAACGATGTCTAATTTAAAGTTTTAATTTATATTTTTACCGAAATGTACCCTTGGTATACTTCGGATTGTTTATATAAGACTTAATCAATAGTTTAAAAATTGTTGCTCAACGCCCCCAAATTTTGATTACCTGTAATATTGTATAGTATTTATGTACGAGTTTTTGTTAAAAAAAACCAAATTAAAATTTAGTTTTCATATAAAATGAATACATTGTCTAAATAAATTTCGAATATCGAAATAATATTTTTAAGCTATAAATAATTTTGAATAACACTCATATTGTTTTGCCAAAAAAGAAAAGAAAGTGAAATTGAAATAAAATTATTTCTTTTTGTATTGAAGCATTTTATACTCAACATGATTAAAGTTATTTTAGCAAAATTTGATGGTCATTACCTTAATAGCAATGCAGCTAGCTCAAAAATTGTACAACGTTATCATATGCTTTCAAAAATAAAAAATATACTGAATAAAATAAAATTTATTTTTTTGAACCTTAAATACCTATTCTTTTATAGTAAAAACAAGTTTTCAAGAGTAGTTTTTAGAATAAATTTTGAAAATTAAATGGGAACCTATAATTATTTTTATACCATTTAATTGAGAAAAGACTTAATATTAATTTAATTTTTCTATAGCAAGTTTTATAATATTTTTTTTTGTGTTAATTGTGAAAAAATATAATTTTTATGGTATAGTAAGAGGAGTGCACAAAAGTGGTAGAATTTTTATGTGCTTTATAGTAAAATTAAAAATCTACCCAATCAGATAAATTTCCATTTCAATGATTCTTTTCATTTATTTAGAAGTGGATTAATATTTCCTTAATTGTAAATGTTTCATTGTATTCTTAACAGATATGTCCAAAATTTCAAGTGTTGGTAACTTTCAATACCCCAACATATTTTGAATAAGAAAAAAATTAAATAATTTAACGATAGATCAGACCATCTTGGAGAAATACTCGACGTAGTAATTAATCTGAGTGAGTCTGAATGATAATAAAGTACACAATAACCAATTTCCGTTCTCAGTAAATAATCGTTCATATAAATATTTTTATATTATTATTATTAGGGCTCACTACTTAAATCACTCTAACGTGTTATTTTAAAAGCTATAATAACATTAAACATATTGTTTTGAATCCTTTAACAAAAACCAAAAGGCTATAAATGTATATATTTTTTTAAAGACATAAGAAAGTTCTATTGAGTATTAAAGGTTGGGTTATATCCGATATTTTATGGATTTTAAATGGAGATATAAATGTAATTAATATAAACTAAAAAAAAAATCACAAAAAACTTGTTATTTAAGAAAAATCGGGTGACTAGCGTTTAAAAAATAACTCTGTATAAATTAACATCACTTCCTTTGTGTGTTGTAATAAACAAAAAGAAATAAGAAAGGACAGGAACGCGGACGCTGTTAATATGCAAAGAGACATAAATTGGCGGGAAAAGAAAGGGTAGCGGGTAGTATAATGGGAAAGTAAAATATTGGCTGTTATGGTTGTTTGGTATAAAGAGAGTAAGAGTAGCTAGATGTATTGGGCAGTGACTATAATAAAAAGAAATAGAAAGGGATCTCGGGGTGTGTATGTCTTTATGAATACGTCAGATACATTGAAGAAAAATTACTATTTAGCCCCTGTACAAAAGGTATACACGAATTTATGTAAATCATGTTTATCGTACTTCTTAATAGAATTATTTTACTTGATTTGCTTTCAGCAACCTACATCACTCTAATTGTTTATTACTGAATATTCTATGATGAAGGTATTATTATATATATATATTATTATTAGTCTTATTATTTATTTAAGGTATTATTATATATCCTGATAAGGCAAATATTCTGTTGAGATGAATCATGTAGTAGAAGTCATTTTTGTCGATATGTATGTATATGCGTTGGTAGACGCACTTGAAGTTACACGATCTATATCAACTCGCGTATAACTATTTCCCTAATACAATTCTATATTAAATCTATTCAAGGTGAAAATTAAATTTATTCTTTGGTATATTATGTAAACCCTTTTTGTATATTTATATGGTGTATTATTTGACCTCGTAAGTAATGTTTTATACTAACGCATTTATAATTTTAATAATTTATAAAACTAATAAACAACATTACTGTCGTGTGCAAGAAAACCATTTTCAAGCGGTCTACGTCTTTTCAGTCATCCACAGAATGATCTAGGGTAGATGCGAGCTCAATTTAAGTTCTTTGCACAATAGATCATACTAGTATCCTACACTCCGATTGCCCACGCTATGACCTTTCGGGAAAACGGCTGAGACCAGACTGGCTAGTCGGAAAATAGAGAGAGACACTGGCCAAATAAATATTTGGTGAGTTAGTATAATATTTCGACTCCAATATAATTTGTACTTCGTAGCTGGCTATGCCAACATGAGATATCAAACAATATTGTTATCTTTATGCAAAGACCATTATGATATGTGGCCTACTTTTTTTCAATCACCTGAAGGATGGCCTAGGTTAGATACGACTGTACTATAGAATTTATGCACAATAAGTTATGTTATTTATGTATTCCCTTTCGGAAAAACGGCTGAGATTAGACTGGCTAGTCGAAAAGTGGAGAGACTTTGTAGAACGCTTAAAATTAATTGAAACTTTGACTACGATATTATTATGTTAGTACTCTGTCCAGCCAGGTTGTGGCGCTTCAATAAGTAATAGAACACAATGCAATCTAATCATGTATTTTTTGAAGCGTGTATATACAGGGTGGCCCACACCACTCACTGACAACTTAAATAACTTTTGATCCAGTTAATATTTTTAGTTGATTTTTTTTTTAAATAATAGTTATACGTTAGGTCTATAGCTATATCTCAATAATTAATTTTTTTACATTTTATTAAAAATATTAATTATTTTTAAATTTTAAATAAAATGTAAAAAAAAAATCTAAGATAGCTATTTTGTAGAGTAGAATTTAAGAAAAATTTTAGTAAAAAAATATCTTATTAATATTCAGTAGTAAATATTCTGTAGCGTTTTGAAGTTTGTGAAAATTTGAATTTTCATGTACTATTTTACGGTATTAAACATTGAAATACGTATTGAGAAAAGGACAGAAGAAAACGCTATCTTTTCAATATACTTTTGAATGAGAGTGATAAGTAATAATTGCCTTATCTAATTTCTTATCATGGTATTTATGCCAAGTTTGTAATGTATACACACTATCATCATATGTATACACAGTAATCATGAAAAGATAGCGTTTTCTTCTGTCCTTTTCTCAATACGTATTTCAATGTTTAATACCGTAAAATAGTACATGAAAATTCAAATTTTCACAAACTTCAAAACGCTACAGAATATTTACTACTGAATATTAATAAGATATTTTTTTACTAAAATTTTTCTTAAATTCTACTCTACAAAATAGCTATCTTAGATTTTTTTTTTACATTTTATTTAAAATTTTAAAATAATTAATATTTTTAATAAAATGTAAAAAAATTAATTATTGAGATATAGCTATAGACCTAACGTATAAATATTATTTAAAAAAAAAATCAACTAAAAATATTAACTGGATCAAAAGTTATTTAAGTTGTCAGTGAGTGGTGGGCCACTCTGTATATAAAAAATAAATAAATACCAATATTTTATATGTGTTTGAATATTTGTATCGCCAAAGATATTCAACCGAGAATAAGATGTATAATAATTCTTTTAAATCCCAGTTATTAGAAATGGAACATAAAAATTGTGTAGATTTGATATAGAATTGTAACTTAGAGCGAATTATATGTCATCAAACTCCATATGCGTGTGCTGACCGAGAATTCCACAGAGACGAACAGAGTCGCGTAGTTGTAACTCTTTTCGCGGTAGAAGGCGTCGTTGTCACCAAGACAGAGAGAGAGAGAGAGAAAGAGAGTAGGAGAGCCATTTGGGAAAAAATGGCCTTTTTATAGCCCGCAAAACTGGTTTTATGGTGAAATTCATGAAATATTTTTTGTTGTATTTGATTGGTTAATGTGATAGAATCTTTTACGTGAGCGATTTATGGAATTTGTAAGAGGGTGGTTGAATCTTGTGTAAGGGTATTATTTTTTTATTCGTCTTATCCACGGGGAAACACTGATTTGGTGATATATTTTTTTAAGTATATGTATTACATACTACAAGTATTAAAATGTGATACTACGGTGTGGAGAACACTTGTTTTTTCTTTCTTTCAGTCCCCGTTGAGAATTGAATTGAATGTCCAGATCGCTCATAAATGTTTTACTATTAATATTAAAATATATGTTTAAATACTGTCTGTGATTTTTATTATATTATATTATTTTTGTTTAAATATTTTATTTTGCTGTCAGCTTTTCTTTTGTAGGCGTGGTTTTTAATATATTCGTATTTTTGTCTTGTGTAATTTAATTTCCATTTTTTAACATTTAAATTATACTTCCTTATTAACTATATCTTTAAAATTTCTTTCTATTACGTGAGTACCTTAATAACTTCTATGTATTTTATTTCGTTCCACAATCTAAACTCAGGTTATGAAAAGTCATACCATACAACTTTAATTATATTAGCTGTGGTTAATAAACCATGAGGTATGATAATTATTTATATTTAAAGCCGTAACTTACAATAAAACTGTGAGTATTGCAAAAAAACATAGGATTTAAAATATACAAAGTATAGAAGTAAAATGTTCAAAAAACATTTCTTTTATTTTAATGAAAAAATATTTCATTTTGTCAAATTTTTAGATATGCACTCTTGCAGTATAAACGAGTATGTTTTGGCATTACAGATGAAATCGTGGGCTAACACAATGTGTTAGCAAAGACTATATGAAATTAGTAAAAATAGTAATAAATAGTTTTTTTATTTTGTACATTTCTATGGTTTCTTTAAATTTTAAGCACTTCTAGGGCTTCTTTTAAAATGTTGAGCGTTTCTATGGCTTTATAAATTTTAAGCATTTTTATAGCTTTTTAAATTTAAAATACAATCAATTTTATAAATATATAAAAATGTATTAAATATTGTAATATTTAAATATTACAATATTTATGATTTTCAATGACAGATCACAAAAATATCTTCAAGCTGACAAATTTTTTTCAAAGAAATTATCAATTGCGTTAGAACCCTTTCATCTGATACAAATTACAGAGTCTTTAGAGTGAACACTGAATGAAGTCTTTGAATATGAGCAAGAAGTATATTTACTCATGTATATTTATTGTTAATTAAATATTATTGCATGCTTGGGTCTCCATTTTTTAGCTTCGATGTGAAACTGAGAAGGTATTAATTTTACTATGTGTTTTTTTTGTACTGTTACCACTTTTTCTCAGCTCTCACCAAACCGATTTCTTTCAAGGATATGTCAAAAGATCACAAATTGTGCCTAGTCGAAGACATTACCCTCAAAATTAGAAAAAAATCCCCTTGTTCCCCGTAAAGAGGGGAAATCCCCCAAACAATTACAAAATTTAAAAATCGCTAATTTTTGATATTTTTTCAATTTTAGCTTCGATGCGAAGCTGAGAAGGTATTAGTTTTACTAAGATGTGTTTTTTTTGTACTGTTACCACTTTTTCTCAGCTCTCACCAAACCGATTTCTTTCAATGATACGTCAAAAGATCACAAATCGTATCTAGTCGAAGACATTACCCTCNATACGTCAAAAGATCACAAATCGTATCTAGTTGAAGACATTACCCTTAAAAATTGAAAAAAATTCCCTCGTTCCCCGCAAATGGGGGAAATATCCAAAAAAATTACAAATTTAAAAATCGCTAATTTTCGAAATTTTTTCAATTTTTTTTTATTTAAAATTGCTATAACTTTTTTTAAAAATAACCGAATCAATACAATTTTTTTTTATATTGATGAATGATATCATTACCTTTCATTTGGTATATTTTTTTTTATATGTGACCCTTTACTTGCACACAGGGGGGGATTTAAAATAACAACTTTTTCACAAAAAATTTACTTTTACACTTAACTTTTGAAAGTGTTCCAGAAAGTCTGACACTTTTATATATATCTTAAATTAAAGCCAATATAATGTACTTTATTATGAAAAAAAAAAATTTCGGACTTTATTTTGTTTTCACGGTGAAAATGGCTACCGAATGCTATTTTCGTGTGAAAATTATCGATTTTATTTTAAAATTTTTAACTTTATAATGCTATAACTTATTGAAAAGTGTATGGATAAACACGATTTTTTTAATATTTTTTAATAATCCCTTTTTCATTCGACATACTTTATCTTAATCAGGATATCAATAAGGAACTAGCAGATCATGTAGCTTTTGGAATAACACACCAATTTTTCAAAATTAAACACTATCTAAAGATTTGCATCGAAGCTTTTTTTTTTGTTAGTGATTTTAATCACTGTCAGATATTATTATACTTGATCCAACTATGCCACGTCACCATTGTACCGCGATCCACCAGTGTTGGGTTTTTTACTGACATTTACACACATTTGTGTGTGCTACTACTAGACTATAATATTCCAAATTTGTTGGTAACATGTTGCTATATAAATTATTTCTAAAAAAAAAAAATGATTGTTAGTTTCTCTTGAATTAACAATGGATTTTTACAATTATAATCAAATTTTATAATACGCTAAATGGAGTAAATCTTTTTAACAACTTTGTTTTGATTGGTTCATTTAGTTAAAGTAAATCATTAAAATTAATTAAGTTCTGAATATTTCAATTGCAGAATCTTTTTAAACGCCAAAAGTTATTAGGAAATGATTATTATTACTTCTATTTAAGTTATTTTCTGTGATAAAAATGCAAAAAAAATATTGAGCAACTCTGATAAATTTACTATAAATAGTAATTATAAAACTTCCTAACTGCATATTTTAACGATACATTTTTTTTAATTCTCATAACATTTGCTATTTAATGATGTCAATTTCAAACTTGCCAATTGAGCTAAAAGTTATGATAAAATAAATTAATTTTAGCTTCGATGCGAAGCGGAGAAGGTATTAATTTTACTATGATGTGTTTTTTTTTTTTTGTCTGTTGCCACTTTTTCTCAGCTCTCACTGGACCGATTTCTTTCAAAAATACGTCAAAAGATCACAAATCGTATCTAGTTGAAGACATTACCCTTAAAAATTGAAAAAAATTCCCTCGTTCCCCGCAAATGGGGGAAATATCCAAAAAAATTACAAATTTAAAAATCGCTAATTTTCGAAATTTTTTCACTTTTTTTTCTTAAAACTTCCATAACTTTTTGAAAAATCAACAAATCAACATAATTTTTTTTTATACTAAAA